AGGTGAATGAACAGGAGATAACAAACTTGGTCAATGAACATGTAAAACTTGCTATAAAACTTCACTAGACATGATGATTTACCATTTCAATAGTATTTACTTTCTGCAAGGTATTGTTTTAGATGCAGAAGTTAAGTTTTTTTCATGTAAACTACGCCTGAAAAAGCAATAAGCTGTACACACATTTTCTTCCAGATCTACCAGTGATTCCATCAACAAATATTCAGTAAAATGATTGGAAGAAATTTTGTCTAAAACTATCAACAATAACATTGTCTTATTGTAGTTGCAGCCTTTACTATATTAATTCAAAATAATTTAACCATGAGGAAAGCACTTTTGTTTTGTTTCAGTTTAAATCATAAATTTTGATTGCGGAAACAATATGTTGACATAACAGTCAAACTACAACAAGTATGAGTTAAAGTATGGCATTGATGATATAAATCTCCATTTTATGTCATCCTTTAAGGCGCCACTGCAATAATCTGATTGGTGCTGCTGTAAATAAAGTGGTTTGTCCAAATTAATGCAAACAATATTGAATGAAATTTTAAAGAAAGTTAATAAAATACATAAGTCCAGATATACAATGAAGAATGTTTATACCCAGATAGTTAGTGGTGACTTTTGGGGATAATCTCATTATTGCGATTGTATTGCAATAGGACTCCACATTATTGCAACAGTATTGTGATGGTATCATAGCCACTTTAGAAATAACTAGGGCTGATGTATGGGCACATAACTCATATTGCAATAAAACGTATTGGGGCCCAAGTTATATATATTTGTACTGTTCAAATGGTACTCCTTCATTCAATAATCCAGCCTTCAGATTGTGAGATGGGAAGAAGGGTTACACAAGGCTACCTGTGATGTCATCAATATTGAATGTTATGTAGACAGGATGAAGCGTGTACTGTTTACATGGCATAGATAGGAACTCAGTCCATACAAATGCCCCAAGATAGTGGGTATAATTTATATAATTGTGTATTAATTCTTCTGTGACAGTATTGGAAAATATCAATATGATATTGTGTACCGTATTTTCTTGAGTATAGTGCGCACCCATGTATAATGCGCACCCCCCTCTAGCGGGTTCAATATTTTGGAAAAAAAGAAATTTGAATATTATGCGCAGAAAAATTTTACACCGTACCCTTTCAGCGAAGTCCGGCAGACGAACGGGTGCTGAGAAACTTCGTCAGTACAAATTCGAAATTTGAGATAAAAAATCACCAGACATGTTTATTTACCGTTTAAATAGTATTTATTGTTCTGCTAGGCATTGTTTTATATTTAGGGATTAAGATTACCTTGCGTATTTTCTCGTAAACTTAGCTGGAAACAGCAATCAGCTGTACACACGTTTTCTTGGAATCGACCGGTGATTCGGTCAAGACACACCCAATGATATAACTTTATAAGATTTTTAATGCAAGGATCGGCAACAATTGTATCTGAAACTATTTTATTTATCAGGAATAATATATTCCATTATTTTCTTAATTATATGCAATCTTTAATAAACATATTTAAAATAATAATAACCCTAAGCGAAGCAGCTGTTCGCTATTCCCGGGTATTATTTTTTACATGGAACATGTCTGACCAGTCATCGTCAAGGCTCACACGCACGTGATCACGTGATCGCGAGAATTTCATGTTGACATAGAATTGTCAAACAAAAACAAATATGACTTTTAACGAGTCAAAGTATGTCATTTATGATATATGTATCCATTCTCTGTCATTCAGCTTTTCTTTATTTCCTTGATTTGATTACCTGCCACCTACCAATACCCCCCAAGCCAACCCCCATCCCCACCCCACCCCACCCCACCCCATCACTGTCACACCAAATCAGCCACTTACTGTACATGATTGTAAAATAAATCTCATTTTCTGGATCAGTGCAACAGAATGTATATTTCAATGTCAGTATGTTCCCTGGAGGAGTGAAGAGAGGCCACATTATGGTGCAACTTGTGGAAGATACATCTGGTGACAAGCCCAACATGACATGTAGGTCTGGCACCAATCTAGCATGCACATGTGAAACAAGACATCTGAGCCCTTGCACTCTCCCTGAGATCATCCCACCAATACACATACTTGTAGCATTTTAATCACGACGACTCACGTTTCAAAACAGGATATCCCCCTGGACCCTTCTCAATGTGCCCTGTGATGGGCAGCACATAGCTTACTGAAGTCCTCAAGTCAATACATTGTCAATTATGTTTGCTGTCACCCAGTCACTTGACTTAAAAGGTTTGGTGACTAATGACTGTTTACTTGGGTTGCCTCCCCTCTCCAACTCCTGGACGACAGAGTTACGTAGATCACTGGCATGCCTCAGGATTTATGGCAGTCAGAAATAGTACAAGGACATCTCATGTTCTGGTACTAGCCATGCGGAAAGGAAAATCATACCACAATCACCATGAAAACCATCATATAGAATACGTCCATTGTGGGACCAATCACCACTAATTGTACCTGCCTATTTTGCTCATATAATCATCATCATCATCATCATCATCATCATAAGGAACATGTCCACTATGGAACCAATCACCACTAATTGCATCATCATCATCATCATATAGAACATGTCCATTGTGGGACCAATCACCACTAATTGTACCTGCCTATTTTGCTCATATCATCATCATCATCATAAGGAACATGTCCATTATGGAACCAATCACCACTAATTGTACCTGCCTATTTTGCTCATATCATCATCATCATCATCATCATCATCATGAATGCTGACCACAAACTATATTGCTGATCATCTGAGGGGCAGGAGTAGTCTACTGGTTGAAGCATCTGAGTATCCCTGCCCACTCCCTTCCTCGGATGTGGCAGTCATATATACTGTGTGTATAGGTCTGGTTAAAGGATTGGATGAACTGTACTTGACACATTTGATTTGCCGATGTCTCAATCAACACACTACACTGCGCAGAGCAGGGTCTGATGTGCTGTCTCGTGGAAGCAGCTCCTCTATACATCCAAATGACATGATAAGTGCATAGTTAGATTTCTTCCCTGCTTCTAATAAGACTAGCATAATTTCTCTGCCCTAAGCAAAACTTACTCACAGAAACTAGTTGCTACATCATACATATATGAAACACATGGTCCACTGGATGACAAATGTAGGTTACGCACACAATATGATGGTATCTTGACAGAGTGGCATACAAACATTCTTGTGAGTGGCTCTGACATAGTAATACTCCACTTGTTGGGCGCTGGATGTTAGCCAAATTCAATATTTCCACCACCACTCAAATCTGACATGCTGGGAGACTGTGTCATCACGTCAGCCCTGCTTACCTCCCCTACACAAAGGCTGAGCTACAACAAATCTCATCTGTTAACCCCCACACAGCTACGTTAAGGTAGACAAGACTTGCTGGTTGAAAATGAGTCAATTCCCATTACATTACTAGGGAGATAGCATAACAAAAACAACAGTTCCTTGCTGACTACAGCTCTACTGACAGTACAGATAAGATTGTTTAGCTGACTTGTAAGATACTAAGATTATCCAGAAAGTCTAGCCCTACTCAAGTTTTACTTTGAGGCAGCATGTTATATCCAGTGGAAGAAATTGATTCCTAGGCTGACATTTAGTCCCAGCAATAAAGTGATCGTATTTAAAAATATATATCTACAAAATAAAAATAATAAAATCCAAATGGAGCCCAGAACATCCTCAATTTCAGAGTTGAGAAAGTCAAGACTAGCCAAATCATTCTAGACTTGAGTTGAACTCATTTTCAACATATTCTCTAGGGTCAGACTATCTAATTCCTTTAAGTCGCATGTCCTTGTGATGATGTATAGCAAAATGCACCTTCTAGATATTGGTAACTTCTACTTGTCCTATACAAACCTGAACAATTGAGAATTAAGTTCTGGCTAAAGAACAACAGTGCTGGTGAATCTAACACTGAATTCTCTATCCCATGAATACAAGTTCAATACAACATAGATTGTTCAGCTGTATCATTATGCCAAATAGTGAAGCCTAGTAAGCCACAGTACCCACCACCAAGGACCACCACCTACAACCAACTATTGGTCAGTTTAGTCAATAGAAAGAATGAAATATGAAACTTCCCCCTGCCCGAACAGGATCTTTGCCATGATCGTTACCACAACAAAGCAGATTGAGCTTCTCCGCTGCACTCAGACTCTTCCTAGTCAATGTAAACAGACTGCTCACCTCGGTGTACATGACCAGCAAGCAAACAGACCACATCCATGTACATGCATTCCACAAAGTGATCATAGCGTTCAAGTATTGTAAGTCAATGTTACAGAAATAGAATTATGATAGACTCTCTGTGAAACAGTGCTCAGACCAGAAAAGCCCTTGATGGAAGAACTACATTAACCGATATGCTTTCTTGCAGCTTACTGAAAGAACATGTTCTTCTAAATCTATCCCATAACTGGACGATTTATAAATAAATGGAAGTCTTGAAAACCTGTGTAGAGCTTAATGGAATCTCTGGTTGCTTCAAAATGTTCTTAAAAACCTGTATTTTGTTAAACCCATATTTCCTGATAAACTAAGTTCACTTACATCAACAAAAACTTACATCCGTAGAGATGAAAGACAAGTGTTATTTGAAAGTGCTTTGTCTCCATGTCTGCAATGTGCTGACATTATGGCCCAGGACATAATGAGTGGTCTACTGGGAGAGAGATACAGTGATGACATTCCCAGTCAAACAGTCCTTGTTCCACTCATATCCGCAAACATATGCTTTAATGCCTTCACAAGCAATTTAATACATTATATAAGAACTACTGCAGCATTAGAACAATAATATTATCAGACATGTAAACATGATTTTTTTTAGCTCAATAACACACAACAGCAGTTTCTGACATTCATTCTATACTTCTCAATAACAATGTTGTATGCCATACATATATTTCCTGATAAAAGAAGATTTGATACTTACCAGAATAAACAAACAAGATTAATCCTGTTATTGTAATATCCAGAATGTTCAAAGTTGCCATGATATATGTGCTTGTCTGCTTCAGTTGTTAGTATCCAATCTCTTCTTATTAAGCAAGTTCTCACTTTCCCACTGTCCTAACCATACTCCATTCACAGAAGAGTAGACAGTGCTTAAACTCCTTCCAAAGTTTGGGTGTGCAGAAATATGAAATTACAATTATGAGAAGAAGAAAACCTGACACATAAACTCAAAGGCAAAACAGGATAAACACAGCCAACTGGCAAATTATCAACAACAAAATTCTGCCAAATTTAATATTTGTTACAAGTTTGCCTCAAATACATGTGAGAGTATGTTAGGCTGCTGTGAAAATTTGCACTGATCAAATCAGAAAAGTTTTCTTCTCAAAACGTCCAAATTGCGTGGGGGACAGATGTCAGTGTAAAAACTTGATCAGCCAGACTAGTTTTACGATATTTAGTTTTGTATCGTCGTGTGTCTAATCCCTTGAGCTTTTGTAATCCAAATGGAACGATGTCCAAGTTGACTGAATTTTTTTTAAAGAAACCCCCTTAACAGATTCTCATGACAGGCGTTATTAGAAACTGGCGCGAAGAACCTACAGTTAGGAACATGGAAGAGCTCTCCACTATTTCTATAAGGATCAATATCTTTTCACTTCTCTGCAGTCGCAAACTGAAGGGAGAAAGACCGGTGCGCATCAATACGTTGCAACCTCATCGACACAACATTAAAAGTCCTGATTCCTCATGTGAAAAACCTTGTGAGTACTCACACACACACAGACATTAAAAACTCCTGTTTTTCCATGGTAGATCCTGTTTTTGAAGCAACAACTTTCATCAAAAGTTAAACACTGAATGCATGACAGTTAATTCACTCCAATGAAACTGGAATTCCAAATGATTTTTAAACCAAACATAGATTTCCCTTAAAGTTTATGTAACACTCTTTGACACGGCAACTATAGATTACTAGTCACATTGAAACCCAGGGACACCTTTCCTTGTAAAAAGTCTTCTAAATTCACTTCCTGAGAATTACTCACATTTTCACATCTGGGAAGCAGGCGGAAACTCGGTTACAACATTCTCACCTTTGACCTCTCAAAGGACTGAATACCCAGACTGAATTATTCCTTACTATCACACATCAACGAAAATCTCAGTCAATTCTTTCACTTATTTCTTGTTACAAAAAGCCACTTAGCACGTCCAAGCTTTCAGTTGATGAAACAGACATGGGTTACACCTTGGCATGGGGGAGTGGCGAGGAGATAAATAATTCCTTCCAAAATGGAGAGCATGGAGGCCAAGTTCATCTTCTGACTCACAACAATGCACAACAACTTCCAAACTTCCCCAACAGTCTCTAAGATAGGTCCATCTTGTACAGGAATCCACAAGGGAAGTCAAATGTTGGACAGTTTGGGAGAGAGTTGTCCGAAACAACACAAAGAATGTTCCTCTCTCATGGCTGATGGAGGTAAAAACATTGCAGGCTCATGTTGCATGTTCCCTCTATCTCTTCCTCCGTCTAAGATTTCACCCAGCCTGCCTGGAACTGGAGTGAGTTATTTTTGGTGGCAACGGTGTGGAGGGGAGATCCTAGCCCTCACTGTAGACAAGCAGAGCTCTCCTCTCTCCTGCCTCCCTCCTGCCTCCCCAAGGGCTGTCTAGCTCACCACGAGTCATGGGGCTCCCTATGGCTGTCTCACTATTGGTACTTGGGACTCCCTAGGGCTTTGGTGTTATCATCCATGGCTCGTTTGCTGATTGTTATTGGTTCATCTTATGCTGGTGATTTTATTATTCACTACATCCCTGACTGTGCTACAACTGTTCTGGAAGGTGTTGTTAGCTAGTTTACCTTTGTAGCTTTCAATCAACCTTTAACATTTTCCACTTTAATGGCAACATTTCAATTAAAGAAAACTCTATGAAATATATGATGTATCATGATACTTTTTAAAAAGATATGTTTGCCAGTTCAAATCATTCTGTAAACAAAACATGTCTTATATTGATGCCTTCAAAAAATTTGGTCTAGAACAGCAAACGCTTTGACATCATGTATAAGTGTTAAATCTCCAGCAATCTTGTCCCAGAGAAATCTGCTAAGTACTGAGGCAGCCATGTAATAACCAATCCAACTTGTAGCGGAGCTAGTTGTGCGACTTGTGAAAGGGGTTAGACACTTGCACAGAAAGAATATGGCATTTGCAACCAGCAGGGACCATTGCCGAGCTTTCTACAATTACTTGGAATGGATTTTGAATATTGGAGATTGTCCATTAAGAGACACCGCTCCATTCAAGTTATTGATTATTATGTAATCTAATGAACTTACACAAGAAATGTGAAAATTGTTTTCCTTGTAATTAAATGAACCTTGGAAAAAGTTAACATTTAGCATTGCCTTGTCTTTTTTGTCGAAATTTAATATAAATCAATTTGAACAAAGATGTTTGAATTTGTCAGGTTTCTTTTCAAGCACGATTGACAAATAATCCTGTTGAGAAATCAAAGACTCATGAACAACTGATTCTGAAGGTCAACCAAATGAAAGCACAAGGTCATTCTATAAAAGTGACTCCTTTTTTAACATGTGATTCCAGAAAATGTTTTTTAGGCCTACTTGACATTTCAGTTAGCATGTATTTCTCCATGTGTGTAAAGCAGACTAGTTTAATTCAGATAAATTCAGTTAGGTCTTTAATCGATGAACAACCACTTCATATTTTGAAAAAAAGAACTGTGCATTTGCAAGAAAAATGCTTCCCTACATTGAGTATTGATTTATCATTTCAGAAATTTACATATTTTCTTAACTTGAATTCAGAAAATATTTCTCTCTTGAAATTTGTTTCATAAACACTTTCATCCTGCATAAGATATGTCTATAACATGGATACTTCCATTCACCTCAGGAATACCTATTTTATCTATGGTAGCTTGTCAATGTACTGTTACCCCTAGTGCCACAATGGACTTGCCCTTTCTTGTTCCTGTTAGGTGTGTATGAGCAATGAGAAGCATACTCAAACACAAGGTAATCACCACACAGGCGTGTGCGTGTATGTGTGTGCGTGTGTGCGTGTGTGCGTGTGTGTGTGTGTGTGTGAGAGTGTGAGTGTGAGAGGGTGTGTGGGGTCACAATTGCTAATGCGAATACTCCAAACATGTAAGTTGTTCCCAAAACAAAAGCAGATATTTACAAGGTTTTATCATTTTCACTCCTGAAAAACTTCCTTTACACCCCTACCCATACACCTTGATTCCATGTACAACCACCCAGTAGTATCTCACACATGCAAGTGTGCCCCTGCCCTGCAATCAATATCATTTTCAAAACCCACCCACACATACAGCACATCCAGCTACAATCTGCAGCCCCTCTGCTTGCCCTTCCTTCATCCCAGCTACTTTACATGTAAGCCAAGCAGACCTCACATCTGACAGCCTCACACTGAGCTTCCTACCTTGAGTGCTTGACATAACCAGTCTTCCAGTCCAACCTGGGCCAAGGAGCCTTTACGCTGCACCAGCAACTCTAACCTTTTCCCAATGACTCTAACCCTTCCCCAACAACTCTAACCCTTCCCTAATGACTCTAACCCTGCCCCAACTACTCTAACCCTTCAACAACTCTAACCCTTCCCCAACTACTCTAACCCTTCTCAAATAACTCTAACCCTTCCCCAACAACTCTAACCCTTCCCCAATAACTCTAACCATTCCCTAACAACCCTTCCCCAACAACTCTAACCCTTCTCAAATAACTCTAACCCTTCCCCAACAACTCTAACCCTTCCCCAATAACTCTAACCATTCCCTAACAACCCTTCCCCAACAACTCTAACCCGTAACCCTTACGCTGCACCAGCAACTCTAACCCTTCCCCAATGACTCTAATCCTTCAACAACTCTAACCCTTCCCTAACAACTCTAACCCTTCCCCAACTACTCTAATCCTTCAACAACTCTAACCCTTCCCCAACTACTCTAACCCTTCCCCAATGACTCTAACCCTGCCCCAACTACTCTAACCCTTCCCTAATGACTCTAACCCTTCCCCAACAACTCTAACCCTTCCCTAACAACTTTAACCCTTCCCCAACTACTCTAACCATTCTCCAACTACTCTAACCCTTCTCAAATAACTCTAACCCTTCCCCAACAACTCTAACCCTTCCCCAATAACTCTAACCATTCCCTAACAACCCTTCCCCAACAACTCTAACCCGTAACCCTTACGCTGCACCAGCAACTCTAACCTTTCCCCAATGACTCTAATCCTTCAACAACTCTAACCCTTCCCCAACAACTCTAACCCTTCCCTAACAACTCTAACCCTTCCCCAACAACTCCAACCCTTCCTTAACAACTCCAACCCTTCCCTAACAACTCTAACCCTTCCCCAACAACTCTAACCCTTCCCCAACAACTCTAACCCTTCTCCAATGACTCTAACCCTACACAACAACCCAAGCTGCCCGTGAGGGGCTAGAAGGTTAGCAGTCACATTACCATCTCATCCTAACGGGTACTCATTCACTGCTGGGTGAACAGAGGCACATTCCAAACAAAGCCACTTGCTTAAGAAGACACAACATGTGCTAAATGTGCTCAGTGTGGGCAGGACAGAAGACCGAGAAAACTCAGGAGACTCTCGCATGAGGTCACCCATCCAACTACTCTCGGTGACAGATGCTGCTGAACTTTACCTTATTTGTGTCTGCGCACTCTGCACAGGCTAACGTGCCACCACTAACCTCTAACCTGGTCCTACAATCAGGTCAAACATTTTCAGCACAGTTACCTATATATCCATATGTATACAATTCTCTTATCAAATACCAGTCAATAAACCAGAACATTTGTTTTTTAAGGATAGAGTTTATCCTTCTCACAGTTATCATACCTGTGTGGGTTGGCATAATAAGTTTAGACAAACATTCCTAAACCATACATCTTATACCAGAAAAGGACAAATGTAAAATGTAAAGAAGCTACAGCTAAATAACTCTTTCATCCTTCTAAGGCAATCATTCTTTCTCGTCACAGCTCTTGGTTAAGCTTAAGTACCAGATATGTCAAACAGGGGACAAAATGTTTCCACAAGCAGAATTCTTATGACATATCTCCATCTTCCTTATTACATTGTGTGCAACAAAACCTTCCATTCCATCAGATGGCAGACATTTTGATCGTCAATCAAACATCCCTGCACATTAATTCTATCTAATCCGCACCACATGCCTTAAATATACAAATCCTCCATACCCCAACTATAAATACCAAGTATAAACTGCCACATCAAACAGTGGGAGATCCATGAACCAGGATCAATTCCACAAACAATGTCAAAGCAAATCTTTCTATTAATATTTCCCTCAAGCATAAATGTATCTTCTGTCCTTCCACATAGGCCATAACCATTCATCACTCACATCTTCCCTTGGCTTTTATCACTGACTTGTATCAATTCATCACAGGAAATACTATTGTCTTTCTCAGCTAATATTCCATCATATATCCCACAATAGTAGTTATGCCATACTTGCTGCCCTATAAAACGATATTGGGTGAATCCCTTGCTTCACATCCCTGGTCTGACAGTACCAGTTTCAGCAGCCGATATCACCTATACATATGCATCAGACATCTTACACACATGAGAAACAATTGAAGCTGACATTATAGACAATAAGATGGTAACCAGTTCTGCAGTCTAATCTAAATCCTTTTATATTCTTTAGTCCAAAGCCAGGTTTTTTTCTTACCTGTTTAAACTCAATGGCCACATATAAATCTTATGTTCTGATCATTTTAAGTCTATGTAAGAATATGCTTGTTTGCACTAAGATCATGTTTTGCAAGTGGGTCCTGTACTTTAACACTTGAAATGATTGAATAAACCACATTTGCTTGTGCAAGTGATTAGCAGGGATTGAAGAAGAAATGATAGCCAGTGACCCCTGAAATAACAATGGCCGTCAATTGCTGAGCAATTCCTGAGTCTCCTGGTAATATATATATATATCTGGGCTCATGGTTTTTACGGTTGGCATCTAGAGTCTAAATCTACAGCTAAGTACATGACTGTCTACTTGAACTACTTGTCTGTGGACATCAATAGACCACACTTTTTAATGGTTTACATGATCTGATCCCACCAGTAAGGTTGGTTGAAATACAACTATATCGTGCAGCTCAGTACTATGTAGTTTTCAGTTGGCATGAAGTTGTTCTGGTCAGTAACTTTACTGAGACAAAATAAATGCTAATACTGTTTACTGTATGACTATTTTTACAATATCATGCATATCTATTGACATCTGAAAGGGTTTGCTTGACTAAGTGTCCAGAGAAAATACAGAATGCATTACTTACATGCATTATTTACTTAAAGTACTAGGTAAGTTAAGTTACTAGTGACTTATCTAGAAGGGTGCATGTAGTTGTATCTTTTAACTTTTCTAATCCATCAAAGAAAGAGCGGTCACAAATAAATGTATATGAACTGTTTTCATATTTTTCTTCTGATTGCTCCTTTTGGCACCAATCGGTC